AAGAAAATTGATCCTCTTACCTTCTCACGAAGAAATAACCCAAAAGAATCGGTAAACGTACGAACAGACCGAAAATGAGAGACGGAAGTCAGAGAAAGGAGAACCCAAAAACTCAGAATTCGAAGATTTGAAGGCGGAGTAGGGGAAAATCCATGAGCATGGATAAGGCTCTACGACGAAGCCACCGAACGAGATAACTGGACGGACAATAAAAAACTAAGGAGAGTAGGTGAGTATTTCGAAGAAGTCACATTGGATTGGTACGAAGAGAACTGGCACCGTTTCACTCATTGGGATGACGAATACGATTGCGAAGGGAGCTTTGCGCCAACATTCATGCAACACTTCGTGATGCTCGAGCAATGGCACCAGTGGGAAGAAAAATTGGAAAACATAAAACAAGAAAAGGACGAAAAAGTAATCGAGTACGCCTGCAGGTTTGCAAAGCTACTCAAAAAGGTCAACCCTGAGGGCAACTACAGTAAGGAGGCAGCTGAATGGATGCTTGCGCTTGGATTAAGGGAAAACCTATTATCCATACCTGCTGTAAGAAATGCAACAAATCCGGTGGAAGCGCTCAAAGTAGCCATGAAAGCTGAAGCCGATGCCGAAAAAAGATAGAACAAGGAAGGAAGAATGGAGGACCACATCCATAAATTAACTCGGCAGGTGCACGAAAGGAAAATGAACTATAGCATACCTGATACCTACATCAAGCCCGAAATCAAGAGGTACCACACAAGGGATCGGACTATGGGGAACGACGTGGATGGAATGAAAGATTGGAAAAAGAGTCTGGCCGCGATGAAGCCGTTCTCTTGCGATGGTACCGATAACATTCTGTCAGAGAGTATAATTACTACTATCAGATAGGATCTGTATAATCTGAGCCGGAAGGAAACACGACCTAGAGAAGAATTTGATGTTGACATCTGTGAGAAGAAGCTACCGATCCCGAATGATGATTACTCTAAAAGGATATTTACCGACGAGATCGGCAGTAAGAGATTTTATACGGACGACGAAAACGCTTCATGGAACAGAAGTTCGAGTAAGGAAGGAAAGATGGAGGAAGACGAAGAAGAGTGGTTGATATCTTTTGAAGAAGAGGAAGAAGTGACAGGGGAGGCGAGTAATGATTCCAACTCTGATGATAAGGCATGACAGAAGATCTCAGACCCTGCAGCGTCCTCCTTTCAAGTTGAAGAAATGTCGATGGTGGTTGAAAAGAGATCAGTTGAAGTCGATGAAACTGAGGAGAAAAAAAAAAGAGCACTAGAAGGGAAATGCGGACTTATCAAAGAAGTGAGTACAGACGAGCAAGACGTTGCAACGATGGAAGGTACGTCAACGACATACGAGAGCCAAGAAAGGACTGAAGGGGAAGAAGAACATCTTACCATGAAAATGTATGATGAACCCGATTACAGAGCTGAATGGCACCTCGATCGTCTAGACCCCGTGGAACAGTTGGCCCGATGTGTAGGACCACTGATGTCGCCCAAGAGAAATCAAGTGGAAATTAGAACAGATGAAGGATTGAGAGGTCAACCGAAAAGAACGAAACAGACATCAATAAGGGAACAGGGTGCCGCACCGATAGGGGAACCACCCAATCTACGTGGAGATCAGATCGAAGTAGAAAGACAGGGAACGAAGGATGTTGGGGACCTGCGAAAAGAATATAAAATAAAGATGAAAATTATGCCAAGAACTTTCGGAGGAATGGCTCAAGAAATGGTATGTCCTAAGGTAATGCGACGAGTAGTCGATACCGATGATGACGTTCCGATTGAACAAAGGGTGCACAAAGGTAATCAAAAAATAAAAGGAGGGATCAAGAGGGGAAGAATGACCTTTGTGATTACCTGGAGGGTGATGCGCCCGGCGACGAGATGTTCAGACAGCGCACCATTCCGTCATCGTGGCAACAAGTTATAGGAATGCTTGTACGAGAGTTTAAAAGGAAGTTGGTGGTAACTTATTCGGGCATCTTCGAAAAATTAGCGTTGCGCACGATTATGATGATTTATAAGACAGTTTGGAAAGAGAATCCAGAACTACTGATCGAGCGTGAAAACGCGATCAAGAGTACCGTCTCGAATTCTGAGTGCGCAATGATGATGCGATGTTCCCTTAACCGCGGCAGTGATCTCTCAAATGATAAGGAAGCGAATGAGACCATACTAACCGCAAGGGAGGTAACTAACAGAATAGTGATGTCGACAACCAAGATGGAACACCCGCTTGCAGAAAATGATGTTATTAGGATTAACAACCTACCTGTGATGTGTCAACCACGAACGATCACACACTAGCGCAATATCATGGAAACGATGGTGTCGTGGAACTTAAACACTGGTATTACGAAATGGGAGTTAGCTGATATCACCAAGACCGAAAGATACTTCGTGGTTAATGCAATCCGTATTAAGCAAACAAGAAGAAATGTAGGGCAACCAAAGCAACTTGTAGAAGTATTCCGGGTCTTAGAAGTATCACATGACCCAAAGTGGAAATTTGAAAATAGCCTAAATTGGAACCGCGAAACAACTAGCATTACATATAGGCTAACGTTAACACAAGTAAGGAATGATGATATAGACTATATGGAATTAGATGTGGGAGCTATAGATGGGACGGCATGTCAGTTTGAGAGTAACAACAACGATGAAGATATAGAAGTGAGCAAACAAGCAACCCACTATGGCCTGCGGGATTTCGATACACCACGTGATGGAGGACAAGAATCAGGACCAGCGAGTACACCACCACGAGATGGCAGCACTGATAATCTAGCTGGCGCAATTCAACCGTCCAATACCTCACCACCGCAAGTAACGATAAACAGCCATAAGTTAGTGATCGGGACAGATGGCCTAATATCTCAGCCGATCGACAAGAGAAGTATCACAAACCGGAGGGATTGCGATTGAGGTTTATATGCGTGGCGTATAAAATAAGCGTGGGGGAATGTTGTGGGAACAATAGGGATAGGAACGCGATATTGTGGCGCGTCGCGTAATAACAGCAACATAGATGGTAGAATGATATAATAATTGGTAATAGCATGTAATGAGATGGACGCATCCATAAAGCATATAAATAGAATAGTTGGAGGTAGTTTGGAGGGGGAGTCAGAGTTCAAATTAGAGTTTAGCTTGTAACTTTGAGTTGAGAGTTTGAGAACGCTCTTTATGTTCTCTCGCTTTATTCAATAAATGCCACAACTTTGCACAATCATATTACATATTCCTTGAAGTATACA